GTGCTTTCAGGGGATTTCTCTTGCTCTTTTAACTGGGAGTGGTTCCTCTGCTTCTTCATATTGCTCACACTCTCTGGCACTGTGGCCAGTGGGTGGGCAGGTCACCCCGCCCCCGATGCCGCAGTCAGATGTTGTGCTCGGGTGAGGCAGGTGGGCGGATCACGCCCCCTCCAAGCACTGTGGTCAGGTGCCGCGTTCCTGCCAGGAAGGCTGATGGCTGCCCGCCCTCTCCCAGCTCTGGTCGCTCTGCTGCTCTGTGCAGCTGCCCGCTCCGCCTCGGGTTGGGTCGGCGCTCTGTAGGAGGGCTCAGGGAAGACCGCGGGAACAGCCCCGCCCCTGCTCTGTGCCAAATCTCAGCTCCTTGTTTGTCTTGGCAGCATAAGTTCTCTGAAGGACCAGGGCAGAAAAATCCTATCTGCCTCGGGCTTTAAACAAGTCTCAGTCCTGCCCAGGAGGTTGCAGAGCCCCCAGGAGCGGATTCAGGTCTCAGTCCTGCCCCCACCCAGATGCTGCGCACTGCTATGGCTGCACCCCGCCTCTCTTCTCAGAGAAGCTCCAGTAATGGCACCCTGGGTCTCAGGGTACAAAGGCTACAGTGCCCCTCCCCCCAGGGCACACCAGCCATGTTGCTTTGCTTTTTTGCAATTTATGGGGGACCATGGTTGTTCTGCTCCGTATCCCCTCCCAGCCTCGGCGTGCAGCCCCCTGCAGTCCCCTGGGGCTGCCTCAGCGCAGCTGTCCCTGTCCTCTGCCTGGCTTGGGCGGCCTGTCCCCCGCCTGGCTCGGGCGGCCTGTCCCGGCCCCAGCTACCGGCTCACGTCTCAGGCTGGATGTCGCAGGGACCCTTTGTGCCCGTTTAACTTAGTTCTGTTGGTCAAGGGGTGCTCGGGGCAGATCTGAGCCTCGGAGGCTCCCCCTCCGTCCTGTTGGCCTCTCCATTGGAGGGGGGAGACCCAGCGAATGAGTGCTATTCCTCTTTTGCCGCTCCCTCCCCACAGGACCGGTCCCACACTGTTTGGTTTTTTCTTCTTTCTTTTTTCCTTTTCTCCTACCAGATTTTTGACGTCTTTGTCTTTCAAAGAGGGCGATGTTCTGTTGGAGTTTGGCAGGTGCTCTGGTTGGCTGAGTGGGTCCGTAGATGTGAGTTTTGGTGTATTTGTGGGAGAGGGTGAGCTACAAGCGTCCTTCTACTCCGCCATCTTGCTTCTCTCTCTTGATTTACTTTTTAAGTTCTTTGTTCTCTAATACAGACTTTCAAAAATCAATTACTAAATACCTATGGAGAAAGTTACTTTTGGTTTACACACTTTCATACTGAGATAAGCAAACCACAGGTGGGCTGTGGTGGTGAGAGGACTTGAACCCACAAGGTGAATATGTACAGCAACCAGGGGCACAGACTGTACTAGATTTTTTTTGGAGAGGGAGAGGATTATATTCTGATATTAAAACAAACATGGATACACACTGCTGAATAAACTGAAAATTTCTATTCATACAAATTTCAAAATGCATTCTGAGCTCTGGGCCAACTACTGTGGAGAACCTTCCCTGATCCCCTACATCTCAGGATCCCCAAGGGGTTCAGGGTAGAGAAACATCAACAGCACCGCTCAGGTACTAGGAAGCTTTAAGGCCGAGAAAGCTGATGCACTGTTACCTGAGCCTGGAAAGGAAGGCAGTGCAGACGTATTTGACGTGTGTAACTTACATGCAACACTGATAGAGCGGGGCCAGGATGCTTCTCTCATCCAGCGAGGGGTTCCCAAAGCTGAAAATTAAATCAGAACCCAGTGAATTAGGTGGAAGCACCAGCTCCCTTCTTAGCATCAAAGCAGGAACAAATTCTATAAGAAATCTAAATATGATCTGAGATAATTTCATGCTCCCAATCATGATTTAGCTCAAATCACCTAAATTAAAAATAAACAGGGCATGCCAATTAGACCCAGGGCTCCTAACAGCCTGCACTGCAGCATCGAACAACAAACACACTGCTTCACGAGGATCCTTTCTCCCGCCAGGATACTGTCAGGTGCTGACGCATGACCTGGTGACATGTGAAGCCCACAGACCAAGGGAGAATCTGAGGACACCCAAAGCTGAGAAGGTTTTAAGGGTGAATAGAGAAATAGGTTCCTGCAAACTAGCAGATGGTCACCATCTGTAAAAAGAAGTTCCACTCCGAAATTATGAATCAGAAAACATGTAGATTGTCTTGTTCCCTATAAGAAAGTATATGGTCAGATCTGAACTGGAAAAACTGCTTACAGAGGCTGAGAAAACATTCACTCAAAATTAATAAAATGCTCTTATTCAAGATAAAAGGAACTTGTCTTTACAGATAATCACTAAAGAGCTGCTCTCCTTCTCATGAGAGCAAAAGTCTGGGCCTAGACTGCTGTAAAAGTAGCAAAAACATCCTATGAAATACATTAATTTTTTAAATTGCATGAACCTCTGGATAGAATAAATGGAATAGTAACTAAATTTCATGTTCTGTTCAATACGTATTTCTCAAGATTTTAAACATACTAGTCAAGAATGATGTAAGTAGTGATAAATATAAGACCTTGGTTTCCAGTTGTCTGTGAAGAGAACCACAGAGTCTTTGACTCCTTGGGGAAAAAACCCTCTTTTCCATTTTTTGAAGCCCTCAGATCCCTGAGGGTGAAAGGAGTACAAACTGTGAACAGGTTGGGAGGATGGGTGTCACCGTCAGAGACCTGAGCAGAATGAGGACGGGCGCCTTGGGCTGCGTCTGTTCCGGAGGTTTTCCAGGATGCCCGGACCCCACCCTCCCGGCACACTCAGGGTCCCCGACCTGGCCGGGAGGGCCCAGCTGCTCCTACCTTTTGGCATTATCGAGAAGGATGAGCATACTGGCGCCTTCATCGTCCTGAAAACTCTCATAGTGATGGCGGTCGGCGTTGCCAATTAGGTAATCAAAGACAGCCGTGTCGATGATATCCAGAAGGCGCGGGCCGGAGTCGTAAGGGGATGTTTTCTTCACAGCATCGCAGTAGCTCTCATCGTACTCCCACCTGGAGGCAAGCAGCATCACCAGGGCTGTCTACTGAGGGCCGGTGCTGCCCGTGGCGATGTTTAAAACAGGAAGACAGAGCCCCTGACTAGTAGGCTTCCCCCTGACCCTGTGGCCCTTCTTAGTGTTGGACAGAAGCCCTGGCTCCTGCACAGGGTTGGCACCTGACCAGGCACAGGAGCGGATGAAGAGGGGCTCCCAAGAGCACTTACCGGGCCAGCTTGCCCTCTCGGTAAGTCCTGCCCCACGGGTGTCGGTGCTTCTGTAGTGGCCACACGTCTGGAAGCCAAAGCGTGACAGACCCCTCCATCGTGTCTCCATCAGCACAGGCTGGCTCTGTTTCTCGGCAGTAATAACACTTCCCATAGAAACAAGTATTATTTCCTAAAGGAGAGAATGGAACCAAATACACTTAGGGGAAAAGGATGACTCCAAATTCTCTACGTGGAAAAAGGCAGCTCAGTGTGAAAACAGATCCTGAACTTACATTTAGACATTTTCTATATAGGTGATAAAAGCACGCAGCGCAAAAAAATTCGAAAGGTACAAAAGGATATGGACAAAAAAGTAAGTCTCCTTTCCCCTCTGTGGCCCTTCTACCCAATCTCTCTCCCAGAAGTCAACTACTGTCACCAGTATCTTTCTGAACTCACTGTAAGTGAAGGAAGGTCCTCTTCTCCTTCCATAGGGCTGAGATCTTGGCCAGAGAACCCAGGGGAGGGAGGGAGGGTACATACAGGGCCAGGCCGTGGGCCAGGACTTTAGTTACATACGGGGTGGGAAGTGGGGTCCTGAGCAAATGAATAGAGCGAGGTTAGTGGGAACTAGGTTTCTCATAGATGGAGAAAGGAGTTTAACATATAAAAAGGGAGAAAGCCAGAGCACATCTTGTTTTGGTGTTGAATTGGAATTGGAGATACTGGTTTGAATAGACGTTTTAACACAGAGAGATGTGAAAAAATAAGTACAGATGTTTGTGTGTGTATATGTCTGCATATACACGTGTGTGTGTGTGTGTGTGTGTGTGTGTGTGTGTTCATCCCCTACCTCTGCCCCTCTAGAAAACCTGGAAACAATGAGACTCAGGCAGGAATGAGCACACTAAGCACTCACATATTAGTTTCTAATTATCATACTACTACATGCAAAATAGACAAACAACAAGTTTCTACTGCATAGCACAGGGAACTATATTCAACATACCCTGTAGTAACATATAATGAAAAAGAATATGAAAACAAAACAAAACAAAACAAAACAAGGAACCAGGACTCCTTGGAGAGAGAGATGACCCTAGGGCAGGGGCAGAGAAAGTACAAGATGTGTGCGGGTCGCAATGCTATGTATGTCAGCTGTAAGGAGCACTCAGAGAATGGGGACATTCCAAATGACCCAGGAGACAGTTTGCAGGGGTTTCACTGACCAAATATAGGACAGTTTAAAATAAATAATAATAGTAACAAGTTGTAACTCTGAGTAAATTAAGAGTCAGAGCCTTCACAGTGATATAGATAAAGAAATAAGTAAATAAAACACAAGTGGGGGGGGGAGACTTTTAACTCTTCAACAGAATGGCAACTAGTAAATCTAGAAGGAACGACAGAATTACAAATCGTCATTTGTCAACTATCACAGTAGTGACTGATTCAGACAAGAGTTATCAATGAATGCTAAAACTGGTGAGCAAAAGTTTGATGGGGATACAATATTTACATTGCTCTGAGTATCTCCCAACAAAATACTCAGTAATTACTTATTAGTAAGTATAAAATACTGGAGAAACCTTGCAGACAGCCACCATCTTAATCAAGTGATGAGGTACCACCACCAGTCATGGGACCCACATCATGTAACTCCTAACACGATACACTGAGAAGTGCATGATAGCACTCTGCCGGCATTCCCACTAACATTTTAAAATCATGACGAAACATCAGACAAACTTAAATTAAGAGACACTTGGAAAAAAAAAAGACTTGAAGCGGGATGGGTACAGCTCAGAGGTAGAGTACATACTTAGCATGCACAAGGTCCTGGGTTCAACCCCCAGTACCTCCATTAAAAAATAAATAAGTAACAACAACAAAAAAACCCACATTTAAATTTAAAAAAGAGAGAGAGATTTGAGAAAGTAACTGGGCTGCACTCTTCAAAAATGTAAAGGTCTTGAAGAACAAGAAAGACATGACAAGTGAATACAATATTGCAGACGGAATCTGGAATGTACACAGGGTCTACGGCTTAGATGATGATACTGGGTCAGTGTTAATCCCTTGATCCTGATGGCCGAATGCTGCTGTGTAGGAGAACATCCTGGTAGCTGGGACACACTCACGGAAGTCTTAAGGGAGCATATAATGCTGTAGTGGGTATTCATGTCTGCAACCCGTTCTCAAATGATTCAGAAATATTAACAACTGAGGAACCTGGGGGATTCTGTGGATCATTTCTGCAACTTTTACATAAATCCAAAATTGTTTCAAAATTAAAAGTTGAGGTAAGTAATGTTTTCTTTGCCCCCCACTTCTATACAATATAGCCATGGAATATAGCTAATTTCCTACACCTAGAAACCCTCACATATTCCATTAATGACTGTTTATGTCCTTATGTATGTGTCCTTGAAGAGACAAATAGCACTCAAACTTTTAGTATTTCCAACCCCTGGCACAGCACACACTAAACAGAAACAAATCCACCACACGCCTACCCACAAAGCTGATCCTGTCAGTCTCCTTTCACCTTAAAACTTTTCTAGGTAAAGAAGGTTTGAACACTAATTGAAAGATATAACACGTTTTTAATGTTTATAATTATAAAAATATAAATTTATAAGTTTAACTTGATCCATGAGAAATACCAACAGATCTTTTGGAGGGTAACTAGGCAAGACTATTTGAAAGGTCAAAAGAAAAAATTAATAAGAACTGCAAGAAAACTCTTAAAATTGCAAAGAGAGGAGAATAGACTTACCAGATATCAAAACATATTACAATGCCTCAATAATTAAAACAGATATAATGTCCAATGGATCAGAATAGAAAGTCCAGAAACTAAAGCTAAATAAAGAAACTAAATAAAGAAAATTTATTACAGGGGAAGAACAGACTTTATTTTGGGGGGGAGGGGAGGAGGTAATTAGGTTTATTTCTTTATTTTTAGAGGAGTACTGGGGATTGAACCCAGGACCTTGTCATGCTAAGCATGCAGCCCTACCACTTGAGCTATACCCTCCCCTCCCACCCCCAGAACAGACTCTTTAATAAATGCTACAGGGACAACTGATAGCCATCTAGGGGAAAAAAAAACCCAAACCAATGGAGCCATACTTCATTCCGCATACTAGAATAAATTCCAACTACATCAAAAACTAAAATGTGAAAAGTAAACTACAAAAGTACTTTAAAAAAAAGGCAGAATTCTTCCATAACGTTGGAGTGAACAAGGCTAACTGATTCAAAATCAGAAAATCTATCATAAAAGATAGATTGATTACGTTAAAACAAAATTTCTGTAAGGCAAAACAAAACAAAACAAAACAAAACCCCAAAAATACTATAAGCAAAGTCAAAAGAAATTAAAGAATTGGGAAAAATATTTACATCTCATATTACAAAGGACTGTCTTTCTTATGTATGAGCTCCTATAAATCAATAGGACCAATGACAGAGCTGAAAGTGAGCAAAGGATATGCAAACACAAATAAAAGAAAATACAAATGGCCCTCAAATAAAAAAGGATGCTACATGTGAAACAGACAAAAACCTTCTGAACACTGTCTACCCGGAGATGGCATCAGACTCCACAGGTTAAGGGACCAGTCCCATTAGACTGCCTCTCACTTTACATGCCAATTACAAGTCCAGATTGTTTCCCATGCTTCTGATCAACTGGCTATAAATCAGAGGTTCCTACGAGCCCTTGCTTGGGTTTGATTAATTTGCTAGTGCAAAGAATATACAATCGGGAGAGGACAGTCTCTTCAATAAATGGTGTTGGGAAAACTGAACAGTCACATGCAAAAGAATGAAAGCAGACATCTATTTCATACCGTACACAAAAATTAACTCAAAATGGATCAAAGGCTTAAACTTAAGATCTAAAACCATAAAACTCCTAGAAGAAAACATCGGCAGTTTGATATTGGTCTTGGCAGTGATTTTTTTGGATTTGACACCAAAAGCAAAGGTGAAAAAGCAAAAATAAACAAGTCAGACTACATCAAACCAAAAAGCTTCTACACAGCAAGGGAACTCTCAACAAAATAAAAAGGCAACCTACTGAACGGGAGGAAATATTTGCAAAGCATGTATCTGATAAGGGGTTAGTATCCAAAATATATGAAGAACTCATACAACTCAAAAACTAATTGAAAAAATCAGATTAAAGAATGGGCAGAAGATCTGAATAGACATTTTTCCAAAGAAGACATATCAGTGGCCAACAGATACATGAAAATGAGCTCAACATGACTAATCATCATGGAAATGCAAATCAAAACCACAATGAGATATCATCCCACACTGTTAGAATGGCTATCATCGAAGAGACAAGAAATAACTAGTATTGGTGAGGATGTAAAGAAAAGGGAACCCTTGTGCACTGTTGGTGGGAATGTAAATTGGTGCAACCACTAAGGAAAACAGTGTGGAGGTTCCTCAAAAAATTAAAAATAGAACTACCATATGATCCAGCAATTCTACTTCTGAGTATTTAGCTAAAGAAAATGAAAACACTAACCCAAAAAGATACCTGCACCCCCTTATTCACTGCAGCATTATTTATAACATCCAAGATATGGAAACAACCTAAGTATTTATTGATTGATGAATGGCTAAAGAAAAAAATGTTCTCCATGTGTGTGTGTGTGTGTGTGTGTGTATATAAATAAAATATATAATGGAGTATTATTCAACCATAAAAGAAGGAAATCCTGCCATTTGTTAACAACATGGATGGCCCCTGAGAGCACTATGCTAAGTGAAATAAGTCAGAGAAAGATAAATACTGAATGATCTCACTTATATGTGGAATCTAAAACAAAACCAAACAGACCAAGCTCATAGATACTGAGAACAGACGGGTGGTTGCCAGAGGCAGGTGCTGGGAGAAATGGGTGAAGGGAGTCAAAAGGTACAGACTTCCAGTTACAAAATAATTAAGTCATTGGGATGTAAAGTACAGCATGGTGAGTAGAGTACATAATACTGTACTGCATATTTGAAAATTGCTAAGTCTCAGAGATTTCAAAAGTTCTCCTCACAAGAAAAAAAAAGTCTGTACCTATGTACGGTTATGTTTGTTAACTAGACTTACTATGGTTATCATTTCACAATATATACAAATATTATACCATATGAAACCAACAATGCTGTGTGTCAATTATACTGCAATAAAAAAAAACTGCTGGAGCAGCTCACAGGTCTCAGAAAACCAGTTTACTCACGAGATAACTGGTTTATTACAAAGGATACCTATCGACACATGAAGAGATACACAGGGCGAGGTCCTCAACAGGAGCGTCTGTCCTTGTGGAGTGTGGGGCCTGGCACAAGGGCACATGGAAGCTACTGCTTCACCAACCTGGAAGCGTCCTGAACCCCATACTATTGGGATTTGTATAGCGGCTTCCTCCCGTAGGCACGATCAATTATTAACTCTTTTCAAGTGTCTCTCCCCTCTCTGGGGACAGGGCAAGGGCGCCGGGCTGAAAACTCCAAGCTTCTAACTACAGCTTGGTCTTTCTGGTGACTGGCTCCCATCCAGAAGGCCTCCAGGAGCCCATGGGGAGCCACCTCGATGGAATAAGATTTGCTCCTAGTGTTCTTATCACTGAGGAACTTACAAGGGTTTTAGGAGCTGTGAGTCAGGAACTGGGGGCAGAAACCAATATATCTATTTATAATTTCACACAAGGAAACAAAATATGCAAAATTAAATTCACTATCTTCCCTGCTCCATCTGAAGTCTGCTCCTCTCCATACATTCCTAAAGTAGCTAACGGCTTCACCATCTACTTAGTCATCCGCTCCAGAAACTGGAGAGTCACTCTTAATTTTTCACTCTCTCTCAATTGTCTCACTCAGCCCAAATGGTCGTCAAATTCTTTCCAGTTTAATTCCTGAATATCTCTTCAGTCTTTTTATACCCAGTCCTTGTTCTAGTGCTGACTCACTGCATGTGAATTTCCTACAACAGCCCCCAAAGGCTCTCCTCTCCCCCCACCCCTTCCCAGTCCACCCTCCACAATGCTGCTACCGTTAGTTTTCTAAGATTCAAGTCTGATCGTTCTATGTTCAAATTCTCTCCATGGCCTCCCGATGCCTAAGGAGACAGTCTTTCCTTCAGCTAAACTACCCAGTCCCTTGAGCCTGCCACGCCCTCCTCTCCTTTCCTGTCGCTGTTGTCATGCTCTGTCCTCCCCCTGGAACAGGGTTAACTTGGGGAGCCTGTGAACTGGATGGAAACCAAATTACATTTTTATTTTTACTAACTTCTATCTGCAACTTAGCATTTCCATCAATTATGATGGTAGAGAGCAAACCATGGTAGCAGTAGCAGCATTCCCTGTGACTTTTTCAGCAGAAGAAATCAACAGATTTTTCACATCATATTAGCACTGTTGCAGACATTGCAAAGTATCATTTATATTCATGGTCCGAAATTACAGTAGTTACTAGATCACTCAGATCTTGTTATTTAATGTGTTAAATAATAAAGCACATGTTATTCTATCACAAATTTGCTTTTTGTAATGTTTGGTAAAAAAATATACTTCATTATTACTGGTTTTATTTACAAGTTTATGTATTTTAATTTATGTATTTAAAAACACCATTTTGATATAGGATCCAGAAGTTTTTCTAGATTGCCAAAGGAGGGTTTTTGCACAAAAAAGGTTGAATCCTTCTCCAAACCTAGGGTGTTCTTTCCCACTGTATCTTCCTATAGGATTGCTATTCTCCCTTTGAGACTTGGTTGAATCCACCACCCTGGCCCTAACTTGTAGGCCCCCTGCTGTTCTCCTCCACATTCCCACAGGCCCTCTGTACACGTCTGGCTCCCCCATTAGACAAAGCTCTCTGAAGACAAGAAGATGTCATTCATTTTTGTATATTCAACACCCTGTTCAGAGCCTGTCACAAAGAAGTGAAATAAAATTTTGTTCAGTGAATAAATGAACAAATATAGAAGAATACAAGCAGATTAAATATTTTAGAGTCTTAAAATCTGGGTTTGAATCCTGGCTAACAATGAGCAGCTTTGTGACTTTGGGAAAGTCATTTAACTCGTTCTCAGGTCTGAAATGTGGATAAATCTCCCCTACTTATTGCACTCTTTGACCAGAGGATTAAATAAGGTAACTGTGTGAAAGTGCTTTGTCAAGTTGCAAGGGCTACATAAAATTTAGTTATCATTATAACGAGTTATGTAGTAATACACTTAAAAACTGTGCTAAGGTCAGCCCATTATTTAAAATCTATCTCCACCAAATCCCTCTACCTGCCTGCTACGGACTGAACGTTCGTGTGCCCACAAGAATTCAATGATGAAACCCTAACGCAGTGGTATTTGGAGGAGGGACTTTTGGCAGGAGCCCTCACAATGGGATTAGTGCCTTTATAAGAAGAGACATGAGAGAGATGATTCCTCTTTCATTCTCTCTGCCATGTGAGGAGACAACAAGATTGCTGACTGTGAACCACAAAGATGGCTCTCACCAGAACCCAACCACAATGGCACCCTGATCTTGAACTTCCAGCATTCGGAACTGTGAGAAATAGATCCTTATTGTTTAAGCCACACAGTCTATGATATCTTGTTATATAGCAGCTGAACTAAGCCACTGCCGTGTGCTGCAGGTTGTATCCAGAAGCTCTGGGCTAGATGCGCCAACCCCGGGTACCTTCAGGTCTCTGTGCCCTCATTTCCATTATGCTTCCTATTATCTTGCCCAGGGCCCTTCCCTCTTGGCAGCCTGGGTAGCTCCTGCTGATTCTTCAATAGTCAGTCCAAGTGTTAACAACCTCCTCTACAAACCTTTTTCTGGCCTCTCCCTTCCCCCACGCCTCGCACGATACATGAGAGTTAACCTCCTGTGACTCTCTGGAGAGCAGGCCTATTCTTCTTGACCTCTCTCATTCATCAGGAATTCATGTTTGCCTGAGCATAAAACTGGACAAGCAAAGGTGATCAGAAGATATATGAAACAAATCACTGACACTGTCTGCTTTTCGTTAGTTGTAAGAACAGCGGAGCCCTAGTCTTTTAAGTTTAAATTTCGAATGATAAATCTGTCACAAGTCCTTTAAATATTCAGTTTCACCTCATTTTAAATGTAAATCCATTCACTCTAGCAAAGCAAGGTGAAGTTCATCTTGCAATGTCTGTTTCAACAGTCGTATCAATGCAGAGTGCTGTGTCATTGAAAATGTCACCATGAGGAGGCTCAGACAAGAAACCACAGCTCCTCTGAATTCCTCTCATTCTCACCGTGTCCACAAGGAGAACAGGAGAGAGAATTCTAGCCCAGACCCCTTAGCTCACAGTGCAGTAACAGAGAACAGAGGCCAGAGAGACCACAGCCAACTCCACACAGAGTTGCAGGCTACCCCTGGGGAGTAAGAGGAGGCAGGGGTGATCTTCCAACCCTACAAGGGAAATTCTGATCCTCTTACAGACTTGCCTTAAGGTTTGTTTAATTCCAAGGAGATAGGACACAGTTCCCAAGAATGTACACAGATATGAAAAAAATATAGCAAGGCAGTGACACGTAGACATCAACAGATACATCAACAGATACAGGCCAAAATTTGAGTATGAGATTTAGTTTAAGATCAAGCAGAAGGAAATAAAGTTATCAGCCACCTACGCCGTTGTAAACCATCTCAGCTCCTACTTCACAGACACACAAAGCTCACATTAGGGAAAAGATTCAACTTCCTGCCATCTACCTTGAGATCTGTTTCCCCCAGTAACCTGAGAACAAGTTACCTGATTTGCTTTTGTATTCCCTTGAGTTATTCCGTTCCTAAAAGTCATGAACCAGCTTGCTCAATGATGCCCCATTTAATTTATTAACTCTTCCCCTATCTAAATGTCCTCTATAACCTTCTTACCTACGGTTAGGAAGGTGCTCAAGAGCTGCTCCGTGGCAACAGGCTTGATCTCCGTCCGCAGATTAACAAACCTGCCAACCACCAAGGGGGCTCGGCGGAAACCCAGAATCCTGGTTTGGAAGGGAAGAACAGACGAGAAAAATCTCTGGGGTGTATTTTAAATAGTAGTCCTAAAAATCATGGTTAATCATAATGTGTACAGGTACTGCTGATTGCTGTGAATAGTTTTTAGAGGTACATATATTTATGAGTTTAATATCAAGATGCACATAATTTATTAAAGACAAATCTGGCAAAATATGAAAAACTGTTAAACCCAAGGAGTGGGTATATGGGTTGATTTTACTATTGTCTCTACTTTTGTTAGAACTTTTTCATGATAAAATTTCAAAATAAAATTTAACAAAACATAAAAAAAAATAGGCACAAACCCATACATGGGTTCAAAGCTTTGGATAGAGCAGCACATTGGCAGAAAACTATACAGATTAATCTAAAAGGATAAACACAAAGGACAACTTAAATATGGACACATTTGAAAATATCGCTAATGGTCTAAAAGTGCAAACTTATCATTGAGCACCATTATTTTTCAGAAAGGGATTTTTCTGGCTGAAAAATACACACTCGCTGAAGAAAACTTGAAGGGGCAAGGTTTGGAACACTCAGAAATTTACTGAAGAAAATACAGATCATGCATAATTCCACAACCCAGAAGTAACTCCTGACATTTTGGCATACGACATCTTTTCCTTCACATGCATATATAAACACACACTCACTCTTGTGTATATACACACAACTGGGAGTACACTATATGCAGTTTTGTGTCCTGCTTTTCACTCATCATTGTATCATGAGCCTTTTCTCATGTTATTAGAAAGCATTTAAAAATGGCTGTGCAATAAATAATCCATTGTTCAGGGCTGCTGACTGACTCTCTGTACTAAACTCATTTTTAGAAAAACCACAAAAGCAAGGAGATCAACAGAACTGTCAAAATAACATAAAAACTGAGAGAGCCTCCTGAGGCCACAGAAGGTGGTTAAATCCTAATGTAATGGAGAAATGGCAACCCAGAGCAGAATAGTGTCAGGAGCCATGGGTGGGAAAGAAAGCGGGCAGGTATTTTTCCTTTCCATTGACTGTTGTCAGACTAAAGAGCAGCAGCCACGTAGCACTGGGGAGCCACGTTAGCAGCCACGTAGGGCTGGAAAGCCACGTTCAGTGGCATGTGAGCCTGGCTGGGGCAGGTAACAAAAGGGGTGGGGGGCTGGCCAGGAATATCTTTCAGTCTGAGGGAGGGAAGGGATTTAAATACAAGACTTCCAAAGCACAGGTCATAAATTGAAATACTATTATATTTAATTAACATCAAAAGTAATTTCTGTACAAAGACTACTTGGTTCTAAGTTAACAAGTAGGTGTGCTGTGAAATGATAAGGACGTGCTAAACTTTGCCAATGATTGTGAGATACCACTTTACATTTGTTAGATTAACAGAAATCAGTATGTTGGATAATATGGAATAGAGGTATGGATATGAGAAAATGACCTTCATGCACTGCTGGTGTCGATCAACAGGGAAACAGGAAGGGATTTGGGGATAAAGAAAACGGAAACAAATGAGGCCTTGGAAAGACTGATTCTAATATGCCATTAAGTGAGGAGTAGGATTTATCCAACTCTTCCCCACGAGGTCTTAAAGAGGCAGTGAAAACTCATGGTATTGTGAATGAACATTTAATCTTTCCCTTTCATTAGACGTTTAGATTGCTTCCAGATTTTCACTACTGAAAATGCTAAGATCTTTGTATATGCATCTTTGAATTTCTGATTCTCTAGGGTACTTCCTAGAAGTATTTTCCTAGAAATATCTTAGATACTCACATAGAAAGGTACCCATTAAGGGTACGAACATTAAGGTTTTTAGTACAAAAAGGCTGTAATTCCTTTTTTTTTTAAAACTTAACCTCTAAGAGTTTTTATTTTTTTTCAGTGGGGGAGGAAATTAGGTTTATTTATTTATTTATCCTTTTTTAAAAGAATGTATTCATTTCTCTTAATGGAGGTACTGCGACTGAACCCAGGACCTTGTGCATGCTAAGCATGTGTGCTACCGCTGAGCTATACCCTCCCCCCACCAAATGCCATTATTCTTAAAAGAAAGACTGAACCTATCAATGATGACACAAGCAGCATATGTCAATGTATTCCTGCCAATAAATTATTATCTTTTTTCTGATCTGTCATTTTTAGCAGGAGAAAATAGTATCTCATTGTTTCAATTGGATATCTTTTTTTTTAATGGAGGTACTGGGGATGGAACCCAGGCCCTCGTGCACGCTAAGCATGCGCTCTACCACTATGAGTAGCTATCTAAAGTAGGTAACCAGTCAGTTATTAGACTCTGTTTTCTTATTAGATTTCTTTAAAAAGGAGTCCACAGTCCTCTCCAAGATACTGTCAAAAGGAAGCAAAACGAACATAACCCCTATGACCACACATACCTGTCCAAATGAAAGGCTGCTACCTCTGCATTGTGTCTGTCATAACCAGCATACGGCTCCCCTTCCACCACGTAGTCCCGGTTGTACCTGCAGAGTTAATCGGAGGCACAGATGCGGACATCAATCACATCAGTTCCGGAGGTCACAGCGCAAGAGGCAGGACAGAAACTCTGCAAGGCTGATTTTGCTCTATAGAGACCTTCTCTGTCAACGCTGAGAACAGTCATGGGTCAGCACAAATGCCTGGGCAGACGCAGTGAAGACGAGGTGGAGAAGGAAACCAGGATTATACAGCTGCCGCTACAGTCATTCTACGACTAGGACACGACGCTGTCTTTACCTCTTTAAAAGACTTGCAGTGTAGCTTAAGTAAAACTATAAGGTATTTTCCTGGAAGGTGAGGACTATCTTTGTATTTCCAGCACAGTGTTAAGCCTATAGTTGGTGCTCAATAAATGTCTACTAAAATGTTTATTAGACCTAACAGAAGAAATGAAGGAAAATATGTAACTAAAAAGTATGCTTATCAGAATGGCTACAGCGAGGCCTATTAGAGGGGTTTAACTTTCTTGGGGAAAAAATGGTCCTGATAAGCCTCAGCTTTTATTCATGACTAGGCAAAGGGACATTAAGAAGTCATCAGAATAACTATTTTCTTTTTGGGTTTACGATGATGTAGCAGAAGGAATACTGGACTAGAGTGAGAACTAGGTATAGCTCTGTCTTTATCTTCTTGGGTGACCTGGAGCAAAATGCTTCTCTTCTCTGGGTCTTAGACTCCTTATCTATAATATTAAGGGCTGGGCCAGGAGGAAAGTTCTAAGATGTCTTTCATCTCAAACTTCATTCTGATGATTTTATATCACATGCATGACATATACAAAAGAAAACAAAAACTGGCACATTTCTATCTACTAATCATATGAAAAGATACACTTCAAAAGTAGACACTTAATTCACTCATGAACTCTACTGACTCCTGTTCACCCCCACTTCCTGAATCAAAAGGAGACCTCTTAGGCTTTACAAGGGAACCGTAAGACAGAAGTAAGTTGAGAATGACATGAGGAAGAGCCACGCCACTAAGGACACCTGGGTCTCCGTGGGGAAGTGGGGAACAATATTATAAAAGGGCAGTGACCTTCACCATAAACGACCATGAAATATAAAGTGAAACCATGTCCACAAAACACAGCCTCAAGGCAAAGTGGTGGAACACTTATGGCAGAAGACAGCCAAGCATCACCACCTGGCTGGACACCTGTTTCTTCTCAGCATGGTCAATATACTCAAATGTATGTTTTTGTTTTTAGTGTCAAAGCATCATGTAGGCCGCCTAGGATTACACTGGTTACCTCCAAATTAAAAGCCTCTGTTTTTAAACAGAATCGCAGCAAAAGCTGACACCATTCAAGCACTTCTCTCTCCACTACAGCTGCATGCTGTCCAGCAAGCTGGGGGACAGTCCTTGAATACCTTACTTTTCATGACTCCAGCAGAGTCACAGGAAGACATGTGGTGATGTGCAGTCCGCTCCTGTCACTGAAACATTAGAGAGCTTTCCAACACATGGGAAAGCTGCTCAGAGTGAAATGTAAAACCCTAGAGGAATCCAGGAACTCGGGTTGGGCTGGAGAAACAGGAAGAAAGGAAAAGGGAAACGAAGAAGAATCAAAATGAAAGAGTTGCACTGGAGTCTGAAGGTCTGAATCCTTAGCTCATGCTTCGGTTATGTGAAATGTGGGAAGTCCGAACCCTGGATCTCTTCCCCAGCTGTAAAGTGAGAAGTTGGACTAGCTCATCTCCCAGGTCCCTTTCAGCACTTTCTAAGATCATTTGCTGACTTTTTAAATTTTAATTGAACTATAGTCCATTTACAATATTGTGTCAATTTCTGGTGTACAGCAGAATGTTTCAGTCATACATGTCATTCACTGACTTCCATCCATTCTCAGGCCCCTGCTGTCTTGTTCCTTTCCCACCATAACTGCAGTTTTTGCCTGTGACAATCAATTTACTTCCAGAAAGGATAACAGCTACATTGAACGAAAAAAAAATTACTTTTATAACAATGTAAGGCAAAATGTGCAAATAAAAGCATCACTGTATTCCTATATGTTTCATGTACTATAAAAATCTTCCATCTCTGACAAGAGAACATGGACAATCAGGTTCCAGAGGTGCTAAACCCAAGAGCAGCTATTAAAGAAAGGTGCACGTCTCAATTTAGCAGGAATGACTTAGATCCTCCTCTCAACAGAGCGATCCATCTTAAGTCACTGACAGAGCAGCAAAATTCATACAGTAACTGCCAATAAATCACTCCTATCCTTCTGGTGAAGGACATCAGAGTGTGACCAAGGACATTAATTTGCACTTATACTAGGACTAAACAGTCTTGGAGGCCACTGGGGTCAGAAGAGCAATCTGATGGGTGTTTCCAGACTGAGTCAATTTCTACAGGCACTTTCTTTCCTCAGCCCGCGGTAGTAGCAGGTGTAATCAGCCCAGGTCAGCGTGTGTGGGGAAGGAGAGTGCTGTCACCTGCTGCGGTGGCCCACAGCTTGTGGGGTGGGGATGGAGCGTCCCTGGAGCTGGGCGTGGACCCGGGCTGTTGGGGTGGAGGAGGAGGGGGCCACACTGTCAGGAATAAAGAGCTGAGTGGGGAAAAAAAAAAAAAGGAAAGACAGCTAGGTGTAGAGAGGAGGACCAGGCTGTGAGGGGCTTGGCCATCAGGCTGTGGAGGCTGGGTTTTGTCGAGTGAGCAATGGGAAACCCTAGATTTTTTAAAGCTGGGGAGCACCGTGATGATATGAGTATTTGAGGGAAAAACCAAAGTGGTTTTTCAGTGTGGTCTGGAAGAAGAAAGTAATGGGAAGCTGCACTGGCAGTAAAAAATGTGAGATGAAGCAACAGTGACTAGGGCTAGTTTATGCATTTATCTGCTGCCGCTTCCCCTGGTCACCAGTCTGGCCTCTCCCCACCTCCACTGACACCTTGTCTGAACACCCCAGTCCCATCCACCAAGCGCCTGGACTAATACTAATGCTGCACGTGTCAGGAACACCTGCCTGCTGTCCCGGCTCACCCTCAGTTCTTCAGTGTACAAACAGTGGGTGTGGGCAGGGTATGCTCTCATTTAAACACAACATGCCTGCAGCTCATCTCTCATCACACAAATTTCATCTTTCCTTTTTGTTTGCCTTCTTTCCATCATTGTTCTGCTTATGCTGCCGATCTCTCAAGCTACAAACCATGAGGTCAAGGACCACATTTCAAAACTAAACTAGAAAAATTCTGATGATGGGTGATCCATGTCATCTCACTTACAGGAAGGCAAACAAACTTAAGAGAATCACGCGTGTGTGGCAGAACACCAGCTGCTCACACTCTGACAGATCCAAATGCCAGCTCCATTAGTTACTGTGGGGTGACCCTGTCAAGTTAGTGACTCTCTCTAAGCCTCGGTTTCTTATTCTGGAAATAAGAACTGTAACTGCCTACAGTTGTGATGAAGGTTAAAGGCATTAACAGATACAAAACTTCTTAGTGTAATGTCTGGCAAATGGTGTGCACTCAGTGGAAATTAGATCCCAAGGCCCATATAACCATACTTTCCCACATTGCCTGCCAAGCAGACTTTTCTATTTTCCAAAAGTCTACTGCATTCTAAAACTTTCCTAATTTCCACATCTCCCATACACCGTCCTTCCCAGTTCCAGGCAAACATAGATCCCTTACGTGGACGGGATCTACATAATAAGCTCTCTGGCTGCTTATTGCCTACTGATATTTGGGTCATGAAGGGAGCTAAGCCAGCTACTCTGGTTACAGTTTAGTTTTGCACACCTTCACTCCGTATTTCTTCTCCCATTCCAGCAAGAGACCCAAAGGTATGTGTTATAATTCTCTCAAAAGCTTCACTGAGGAATGAAAAAAAAAGTTTAGTACACAGAAAATTTTACACATTACAAACTTTGAGAAAAATCCACTGGAAACTAATTCCTGGCAAAAGAATATAAATTACCACCATGTTAACCTATTTTAAATACATATACCTACAGAAAACTTAAAAAAATAATTACACTATAGAATTGCCACATAAAATTATCTCTGCAGATCCTGAGAGAAGTCCAAAGGAATCCACTGTCTGACAACATACGATCTAGTCCTCTCTCCAGTTCAAATCTGGACTCAGGTAAGTAAAACGGTGCCGCTCTCTGCTTAAAACATAAAAGAAACAACACGATATGGTGACATACATATTAGAATGGCCAAAATCCAAGACACCAACAATACCAAATGCTGGTGAAGATGTGGAATGACAAGAGCTCTCATTTGTTGCTGATGGGAATGTAAATTAGTACAGCCATTCTGGAAGACAGTTTGGCAGTTTTTACAAAACTAAACATATTCTTACCATATGATCCAGCAATTGTGCTCCTTGGTATTTACGCAAATAAGCTGAAAACACATCTACACAAAAACTTGCACGTGAATGTTTATAGCAGCTTTATTCATAACTGCCAAAACTTGGAAACAACCAAGACGATCTTCAGTGGGTGAATGGACAAACACACTGGGGTGCATCCTTACAATGGAACAGTACTCAGCAATTTTAAACAATGAGCTACTGAGCCACAAAAAGACACGGAGGAAACTTAAATGCATACTGCTAAGTGAGAGAAGCCAATCTGAAAAGGTTGCAAAAGGTATGGTTTCAACTATATGACATTCTGGAAAAGGCAGACTATGGAGACCGTAAAAAGATCAGTGGTTGCCAGGGATTCAGGGGGAGGGAGGGGAGGAGGAGTAACTGGAACACAGGGGATGTTTAGGGCAGGGAAGCACAAAGAGTGAACCTTAATGTAAACTATGGACTTTAGTTAATAAATGAACATTGGCTCATCAACTGTAACAAATGTACTACATTAACGGGAGATGTTAATAACAGGGGAGTCTGCGGTGGGGAGGGGGAGATATATAGGAATTCTCTGTACTTTCCCAATGTTTCTGTAAGCCTAAACTGCTCAAAAAAAAAAAAGTCTATTAGTTAAAACAAAACCAAAACTCAAGTGAAAGAATCTGAGCTTTAGTGCTTAAAAAGGGCCCATCCAAAACCCACTCCAGCTCTGGGTAACTCCTTCTCTACAGCCCTGATGTGGTTACCCAGTCTTTAAGTGCATACTTTTGGTGACAAGCTGCTTATTTCCTAACCAATTTATTTTGTATCTCTAACATCTGGCATACAGAAGATATGTGATAAACTTAGAAACCAAGGATAGCTCTAACTGTAAGAAGTGCAGTCTAATTTGGAACTAAAACACACTCCTATAAATTTCCCCTACTCAAAGAATCATGGGGCATTAGGAAATAGAAAAGACTTCAGAGATCTGGTCTCCCTGTCTCATTTTACTGAACAGAATACCAAGAGAGCGAGGCGAGCACTCATATAAATTTCAAGTTACATGAGTCAACCAACCAGCACAGATAACTCCCAAGATGAAGACTTACCGCTTAGGTTTGAAGACAACTTTCTGTCCTCCTTCAAGTATTAGTAAGGCTTTCAGTTGTGTCCCTTTATAACCCACATCAGCTTTAATGATTTTCTTAGTGGCCATGGCATGCATGATTGCCCCCAGCTCTGGTGTCTCTTCAGGGTACACTTCCCGGGGAACCACCCACTGGGCTGCAATCTCCCAGGGAGACTGCAAGGTGTGGTCCAGCTTGGGCACCAGCTCCACCTGCAAGCCAGCCATCATGCGGTGAAAGGCCCTCTGGTCCTCCCGGTTGGCAGCTGATGTATCTAAGTTGTCAATCAGGAAAACTTTGGTGAAGATAAAGATGACAAGGAGAATCGCTAACAGCACGACTCGCTGCTTTAGCTTCATGTTGACCTCTCTTCCTTCTCCCCTGACCCACTCTCTCTCACTTCTCAAGGAGAGCAGGTGGTGATGGTCAGCAAGGAGGTTCCATGATTATACACACTGGTCCATCTCTTCACCGAAGCGCCTCCCACAATTCCTGCAAGCCCAAGCACAAAGCACAATTCAATCAGAAAGTCTGTCCTTCCACCCTTGAATCTCTTGCAAGCCTCAAATACATCACTCACCCTTGTAGCTTTGCTAATCCTATGCTTGAGACGACCCAATAATTTAAAACGAACCTGTTCAAGGAAGGACCTAATAGGTAAGAACCAGGTAAAATGAAAATTCAAAAGCAAATAGCCCTGTTTTAATAGCATGCACAGCCATCTAGGAGTGGTTTGGTACCAATCGCTAGGAACCAAACAATGAAATAAAGCACAAAAAAGTAAAACATTAAGATATGCATAACTCCTTAACTTTCATTTTTACCTTTCAAGATTCATGAAAGACTTTTGAATATCCCAAACCACCAGTATTTGGTAACTTTCCAGTTCTTATCTTCTCCAAATATAACTTTATGACACATTACGAGACAGACACTCCTAAAAATGCCGAAGAGGGTACAGAGGAGAGCAATAATCCCCTCTTGAGTCCAAATACCCAGCAATCCTGGATGTGTCATATCTGCTGCTCATGTATTTAAATACAACAAACACCCAGATACATATCTCTACTTAATCAGTCTTCCACTAATTATTTTTCAAAATTAAAATCCCTGTAAAAGATGGATTTTCAAATCTGGATAAATTAAGTAAAAGAAAAACATTTCCCTATACCATCTGGCTATTAGTAGAACATGACCAGAAAACCAATGAAACCTGGTACAACAGCAACACTACTAAGTCTGGCCCGTCCAGCACATAACAAAGACGCCAATGTCACAGACAGAAAGACGTGGGGCCGCCGCCGTGGGGCCCACCGCACTCTGGTCAGTTCTCAAGCTAAAAGATTCCAAATACAAGATTTTTGCAAGGGTGTCAAGAACATACAGTTCAGTCTCATTTGAATGCTGACAGGCTGCCTTCCACTCCAAGGGGCCATTGAGACACATGCACTCGCTTGCTCTGCTACATGCCTGCAGGCAGCACAGCGCGGGCTAAGACAAAGATGACAAGAAGATAACAGGGTGCTGCTTCACTCTCCAATTCATTTAACAACTCAAACCATTAATCCAAGAAATAAAACCAATACAAAAGATAGGGAAAATGATTCAGGCTGAGACACTCCCACCCAGACTGGAGACTGCTCCCCTAGTAACAGCTGGAAACACATCCAGGAACAGGGTACTAGGGCAACGCTGTGTTCTAAGGGCAACAGCTTGCCGAGCGCCTGCTGACATGCAGTTTATTCTTGGTGATTAACCACTCTTCTCATTCATTTTCATGAAGAAGGGAAAGAGAGAGAGTCAAATTCTAATTCTAATTATCTCCAGCCACCTGTTTCGTTGCATCATCATCTCCCACGGAGTATATAATACTATTAGCTGAAACACAGGCAATTCAAATGCATCCAAAATGTAATTGTGATGGTATCAAGTTTGCTGTGAAACTCAGTAAAACAGTTCCCTGTGATTACTGATAGCAGCCATGCTAGGACAGCAGATTTCAGAGATTTTTGCTAGTTCCAACACGACCTAAACCATACAACGTCTTTAATTATCTGTTCCACAGTACACGTCTCCGGCTGCAGTGGTACAAGGTAACATGGAAGTCTCACTGTGTCAGCAACTGTTTTTACTCAGCACCTCCAGCTGCAACTCCCTATAGCCCCGGTACAATTACAATCCTGGCACAAAGGAGTCAGTTGAACAGCCTTCTACTTCCTACAAAATCCTCTTCAAGACTCAAGTCGGTTAACCCATGAACTTCCAATGATGCTGCCCTTTTCATTCAGGAAGGAATTCCTCCCTCAGGCATATCAAACATATCCTATCTAAACATGTAGCATCAAGGCTGGGGATAGCAGGGTTTTGGGTGTTTTTTTTAATCACCAATGCAATAGGAAGTTCGAGCAGCTCCAAAATTCAGACAAAACAGAGTTTGTCTTTTAAATTTTGAACTCTTACTACATTTTGATGGGCCTCAGAAGAACACACTCATCAGTTCAGGGCTGCAAACAATTTATCCGCTCAACTAGGACAGAAATTTCTATCACGTGAACATCACTTCACTATTTACCTCCGCAGATTAGGAGCGAGGGCAGATTTAAAGAAGGGGCTGGACAAGTTTTCGTGTTGGTGTTAGTCACCGCTTCCTGGCAGAACAAGAAAGAACACAACGTGCGACTGTTCTCTACCACCGCCTGCCATGCCCACAGCCAGCAGCTTCACTCAGTGCTCAGCACCTTCTCTTGGGTCCCAGAAAGAACTGCCTTTTGCGCCTCCAGGTCCCCCACTCCAGACTAGGTAACAAGCAAAACCATTTTTCTAGTCACACACCACTTCTGAGTTCTTTAAATTCCTAAGCAAGCCATTAAAGCCCTACCCTGAATGACTTCAGCCAGTCTGTGCGGCGGGGCATCACCCTTATTCTCTTCGCTCCGCACTCTTCCCTGCTTGCACCTAACGGAGCAGGAACACGGTCCCCTCCGCGACATTCCCCACTGGAACTCCCGCAAAATTTCTCTTGCTCTTGAAATGCAAATCAAAACTACAATGAGGTATCACCTCACACCAGTCAGAATGGCCGTCATTCAAAAATCCACAAATGACAAATGCTGGAGAGGCTGTGGAGAAAGGGGAACCCTCCTACACTGCTGGTGGGAATGCAGTTTGGTGCAGCCACTGTGGAAAACAGTATGGAGATTCCTCAAAAGACTAGGAATAGACTTACCATATGACCCAGGAATCCCACTCCTGGGCTTGTATCCAGAAGGAACCCTACTTCAGGATGACACCTGCACCCCAATGTTCATAGCAGCACTATTTACAATAGCCAAAACATGGAAACGGCCTAAATGTCCATCAACAGGTGACTGGATAAAGAAGATGTGGTATATTTATACAATGGAATACTACTCAGCCATAAAAACCGACAACATAATGCCATTTGCAGCAACATGGATGCTTCTGGAGAATGTCATTCTAAGTGAAGTAAGCCAGAAAAAGAAAGAAAAACACCATATGAGATCGCTCATATGTGGAATCTAAAAAACAAAAACAAACAAACAAACAAAAACAAAGCATAAATACAGGACAGAAATAGACTCATAGACAGAGAATACAGACTTGTGGTTGCCAGGGGGGCAGAGGGTGGGAAGGGATAGACTGGGATTTCAGAATTGTAGAATGGATAAACAAGATTATACTGTATAGCACAGGGAAATATACACGAAATGTTATGGTAGCTCACAGAGAAAAGAATGTGACAATGAGTGTGTATATGTCCATGTATGACTGAAAAATTGTGCTGAACACTGGAATTTGACACAACATTGTAAAATGATTATAAATCAATAAAAAATGTTAAAAAAAATTTCTCTTGCTCTTACCTCTTCCTCCCATCTTCTCTGTTTTAAAGCCTAATCAAGCTTTCAAGGGCCACGTGCAAAGCCATTTCCGGTTCCCTCTCACACGCTACAGTACTCTCTCCCCTTCAGACCAAAACTTAACTACGTTCTGCCTTGTCCGGTATCTTCTTGTATATAGTTCTTAATTCCTCTCTCAGAATCCTGGCTCCTTAGGGATCTTAGCTATCTTTGCACCTCCTTAGTACCTAGCATAGAAAAGGTAGATGTCTTATTCACTTAAACTGAACAAACTACTACAAATGAGGCTTTGCAAGTATCTTAGGACTCTGGTGTTAATCTCCTTCAGTGTTCAGTATCAAAGGAGTGTGTATCAACTCGTACCTTAATGTTGGCTACCATGACTTAGCTATCCTTTTTTTTTTTTTCCGGCCATCTACTGCTCTACCAAGATTCTACTCACTTTAGTCAGTAGTTTCAGAGAATTATCTCTTTTTCTGAGTAAATATTGACAGTTCAGAAAGAGGCTTCCCTTTAGCTGGAAAGCTGCTGCTTCTTCAGCCCACAGGGCAAGCACAAGTATATTTAAGAAATCGACAGTGTAGAGGAATTTCTACAATGGTCTATGAGTATGCAAGACTCCTATTCCACAAAAATGTATTAGATGCATGATATGGAATAATTCCATTCTCTAAGGCTGATACACACCTTCTGCTCTTCACAACGATTCTCTTTTCTCCTGTGTGCTTGAGAGGGTAAGGAACCCAAGCCAGTGTTTTCATGCTGTATTATGTTCTTTTCTGAGAAAGCAGCATACTACAAACGCTGCAAACTGGGCTTCTAAGAGGATCCTTCATTTCAGATACTAAGGAAATGAAAGCAAGACCACTGGGTATATCCCAGATTATCCATGAAAACTTCTCTTGCATTCCCAGGAGTCTCCTTGTGCTATTCCATGCCCTCACCTCCTCCGATAGACGCCTCCAACAGTGTAACACCATCCGGTTATATTATGGCCATTTATTTTAATGCTTCTGTTATGTGGAACAGAGCCTACCTCAAGGAACAAACAGACTCAAGGTAATAACGTAACTCAAAAACTGTTAAATGTAAGAAAGACAGGGCAAATGGCAGTCTTCGCACTAAAAGCTGGTATAAATTCTCTGCCTGGAGTTCCAGAAGGTAGAACTTCATGAGGAGTTTTCCTGCTGGACCCTCGTTTCACTCTCGGCTCCATCAGCTAAACGAGGCTTGCTGTGTAAGCTCATTTACTTTCATTCTTCACACACATCATCCTACACGTCTGATATGTGCTTTATGAGGATAAACTTATGACTATAATTTGTTTTGGGAGAAGAGGTGTAAGTTCCACAGAAAAAAGGTGAGTCTGAAGGAACACATACAGGAAAACACATTGGCGCAGAGGTCTGAGAGTCATCGTGTGATAAAACTCAATGTACAAGGCTGCTGAGGAACGTGGGAACCCCTGGCCCCAGCACTGACTACCTCACCAGGGGCTCCCACAAGCCGCCAGCGAGGTTCCAAGCCTCATTAGTAGTACTGCCCCCTTGAATCTCCCTCTGATCAAGTGACAAGTTCACACTACTTCGCCTACGGTCACGGAAAAGAAATCCCAACCTTTGCTCACAGCAACTAAAAGTGAAGGCTTCAGTAAAGCCCTTTTTGTGTTTGCCGATCAAGTTGTTACCACATAAAGGGAATGGAGCATGCCTTGTACCAGGTACCAGAAGGAAAACATCCAGTATGAACATTTCACACAGAGGGCTATTAGCAAAGGAGATGGTCGGGGGCGGGAGGATTTATTATATATTCTTGTATATTCTCATATTTATTCACACGATCTCTTTGCCCACCATCCTTACAAGGATACTTTCACAAACTTCTTCTTTGGTAATTGTTGGTTTCAACAAAGCTCTAAAGGTTTAGTGAGTATAACAGGTAAGACCTGAATTTAATTAAGAGGTTTTGGTTGACTGTCTACTACAAAGACAGACAACAACAATTCCTCCCATAGAGAGATGGAATCTATTTTTCCTTCCCCTGAATCTGGGCTGGTTTTGTAACTTGCTTTGATCCACAGAATGCTGTAGAAGTGGCTGTGTGCTGGTACCTTAAGAGACCTAGCAGCTTCTCCCATTTGGGACCAAGCTACTACGTAAAGTGGTCCAGGCTAGATGACTGAATAACAGAGACCTGGCCGCCCCAGCTGAGTGTCAGACACAGAAGTGAAGCCATTAAGGGCATTCCAGTTCCATCTGAGGTCCCCACTAAATACAGCCACCCATGTGACCACAGCCAATATAATGTGTGCAGAAGAACCAATCAGCTGGGCCCAGCAATCTACATAACTACAAGAAATAACAAATCATTTAGTCTTAAACCACTAGATTTGGGCATAATCTGTAAAACCCAACACTCTCATGTCTGTTCTGTCCATATCAACCATTTAGGGGACATTAAATTAACCATTAAATAAAGATTGGATTAATAAATAATTAGGGTCTTTTGTAGGCAACACAGGAAACAGAATATCAAACAGATCATTTACTAAAATCCATTCATATAAAGCAATCAAAGCTAACTTCACACACAAAGTCACACAACAACACATGCCCAGTTTATGAAGCCTAACCTTTACATTCAGCCAAAGCATAAATAATAGCAGAAATTACAACCCTTTAATAAAAAAAATTTTTAAACACACACACTTTTGCCCTGGGGTAAGTCTGATATACTGCCCTTTTGTTTAATTGGTAGTGACATTAGAGCACTGTGCTACGTTATTATTAGCTGCCCCTAGAAATAAATGCAGTCTCTCCTGATGGTTAGTGACAATTACTATAAACAAAATAAAGAGCATACAGAAATCTTTCCACTTAGCATTGTATGTTTCTAGCCAGGAAGTCCAAACGTCCAATACCAAATGGTATCTGAATAAATCCCTCTTGTCCCCAGAAAACCAGCCCACACCTACACTCCCACCACTGCCCACCGGAAGAGCATAATTATTCTTTTTCACCTTTAATTGGGAGTGAGTCTTCAACTAAAACAAAAACTAAGACCAAATAATATCACTAATCAGTATCTGTTATACACAGTTTTCCTTTCCCTGCTAATTCTCCACTTAAGAAGTAGTTTCTAAACACAAACTCTTCTGTAGCAGAGGGGTTAAGAATGTGTACTCTGGATTCAGAATGCCTAGGCCTGAATGCCTGCAAACCTCTCTGGGCCTCAGTTTCCTCATGAAAAATGAAATAAGAACACTATTACCTAACACACAGAACTATCAAAAATGAATAGTGTATTGTGCTAAAATTGGTGCTTGGACAATCCCTAGTAACTGCTCGTTGGTTACTATTACCATATCTAAACCCAAAGACGGCTTCCTGAGGAGAAAGACTGGCAAGCAAAATAACCCTCTTTGGTTACGCTGTCTTCTGGATTACAGAGCCAGGGGCTGAACACACGTGTTGCACTACCAAGAGTTTAAGCAGTCTTATATCCCCTTCCTAAATGTGAGTAGCAGCTAGGACTGTAAGCAAGCAGGTGTCTTCAGAGTGGGTGCCCTGGGAAGCAGAACACTGGGAGGCTATGTCACTCATCTGACCAAGCTGTCTTCCTTGTCTGCAAAGTTCAGTTCTACCACATTCAACGTAAGTGAAACAGATGGGAAGCATGAACTTCTTCTGTTTCACGAAAAAGGCTGAAATAGAATGCTCTTCACAATACTCTTCAGTTCGGAAAACTAGATCTGTGTTTTAAAGATGACAGCATTGCATGTCCTAAAGCTCTTAAGATAAATGCCTTGAAGTCACTTTAAGTTACAGGTATAGAAAACTGAATTCTCATGTACTCCGAATCGGTTTAAGTATTCCTCACCGTTTTCACCTCCACTTAAACATTTATTCACATATGTAAACTTTGAATTACATGAAATCCTCTAACAGTTCCCTGTGAAGGAAGCCATCTAAAATGATCACTAGGCATTAATGAAGCTTTAAGGAAGTATTTCTTCCTGGTTGTGAGAGTAAAAACAAAACAGGCAATAAAAGTGTTTATTACCTCTTTGAAAAAAATTTAATTCCTGCAACCTGTTCCATTTAAGCCCTGATTCAGGGCAACCTTCTAATGCTCTTCCTTGAAAAAGGAAAAGAAACAAGTCTTTAGCTTACTCGGTTATTGAGATTTGTTCTAAAAAACCAGCACAGGTGGTGTTCACTGATCCAGAAACTGTGGAAATGCCCAAGAACTTGCATTCTGTTTCAAATGGGCCAGGAATAATGAACCTTCCTAAGTTCCAGGTATTTTACTGCTCAGTTATCAGTATATAACCACATTTAAGGCTCTATTATAGAATGTAACTACTATATAGTGTAGAAATATGGAATTTCAAGTAATATAGCATTTCCTTCAGATTTTCATGTTTTCCATCTTTACTGTTCAGTTCACTACAGTTCTTAAAGAGGTGTGTAAGCTTTGTTTAACAGTAACACCTCACACTTCTAGCCTTATGTTCTAGGGTATGTACAGCTAACAGGCCACAGTCACCTTGAAAGTAGAAGAACTCCACGCAGGTCTGTGATGAATGATGGCGGAGTGGCTCCAGGTGTGATCCCTTTAGTATGACACAAATATAAATACACACACGTGTATTTTTTGGCATGCCTGTCTCCTCTACTATATTGTGAGTTCTTCAAGACAAGGGTATGTTTACTGTTTTTGGGGGGGCGGTAATTAGGTTTATTTATCTATCTTTAGAGGAGGTATTGGGGACTGAACCTAGGACCTCATGCATGCTAAGCATGCGTTCTACCACTTGAGCTATACCCTCCCCACTGTTTTATTCTTTCTACTTCCAAGTAAGTTAGCACAGTGCAGGGCACGTGAGAGGTCCTCGATAAATGCTTGTTGAATAGAAGGAGTGAAGAGCAAGAGAGGGAGACCTTTATAGTTCTAAGAATGTATTCATCTCTTTGGTTTGATGATGATCTCTTTTTTTCTTTTCCTTACAGACAGGGAAACTAAGTCCTATAATGAGTTCAGATATACAGTACAGTAAAGATGCTGAAATATCAAATATGCACACCAATTTTGTACACTCAATTTTAAATTGCTGCCTTCTGTATACCCTGCTTCCACCTTTCAGGGCAACTGCTCTTGCCAAGCTGGTGCCTGGCACTGGTTGGGAATGGGAATAAAGATGATCTGAAAATGCTAACAGGAAGACTGGAGATGGTCCAGGACACTGCCCAAGAATGATACAAGGCAGGGTTGAAACCAGATCTTCAAGTATTATTGGCAATGCTTTCTGAAATGAGAACCAACACTGGTATTTCCACATCATTTTCTTTCTTTTTTTTTCCTATAGAAAGAACTACAGGAATATAAACACACTTATACAGAATTCAACTTTACTAGCCAAAGCAAGGATAAGAAACAAGCAATGAACAAAAGGTCTTTGGGAAGCCAAAATAATGGTCACAAAGTCCATCCACGAATAAAGAAGAGCCAGGCAAACCCTCACTAAGCCTACTTAGCTGTTTTGCATTCAATTTCATGATGCAGAGTTATCTGGGTTGTTACTACACAGAAGATCAGAAGCTGCAAAAATTTAAAAGAGGGCAGAAGGGACACTAACAACAGCAAAAGTACAGCTTTTCCACCTCTGAAAAGAGAGACGCTGACTACTGAGAGCAAATTCAAGAATTCAAAGCAGAGGGGGCAAACAACCTATATATGTCAATCACCTCAAAGCCCTGCAGGATTAATCTGTAACCATAACCTGGAGTCAATAACGGTTAAACTATATTGTTTTAAGAAGCAAACCAAACATATAATACATTGTAAAAATTTTTTCACAAATATATAGCTAAAATCACAATTTTTGCAAATAATATCTTATTCCCACACTGCTATATACAGAAAGCAGAAAGTCAGCATTTTAGAGCATGGAATGATCAACTTCACTGCCTCACCTGGTTTTGTTACACATTCATAATTTCATATTCCCTGATCTTTTATAATGCACCCAAATTAACACTTTCCCCTCCATAGGGTAGTTACCTTGCCAGAAAGTACAAACTCCCAGACACACACCAAAACTCAGTATCTCTTTTCTGCATCAGCCTTCATTTCTTATTTTGTTCTGGGATGACAGGTGCACCCTCCATAGACTCACCAGGTCGAGAGCTAGGCCCTCCCTCTTCTGCTTGTGGATAAGAAAGACAAAATCACAAGTGACGGCTCTGAGTTATACTCTCTCCTAGATGGCTCTAGCAGTGATGTTGACATTATAAGTCGGTCAAAAGCTAGTTTTAGTTGCAAAGTAAGATCTTCTGTACCCCCAGGTCTGTGCTAGTGAATTCATTAGTACTTGAGGGTTACAGAGGCAGCTCGAGGAAGGAAAGGAGGGAGAGACATACAGGTGTGGAATGAGGAGCTGCTGGAGAAGCACTTCAGGGAGGGATAACTCCCCTCTCCTATCAAAAATAAAGGACAAGAAGATGCACACTCAGGATCAGTGATACTGGTGTGGCCATTACCGAGAGCTCCAGTTCCTCTATTAGTGCAAAAATTGTGACTACCAATCCAACTGCTCAGTTAGCCTAACCAGAGAAGGCTGCGGGAACAAGTCTGTGAAGCTGCGCCTGACCGGAGGACCGCAGGCTGCAGGTGGCTAGAACACCTCGCAGTCTCACTCAGATCTCAAGGCAGCTCCAGCAAGGAAAACCCCTTATAGATACCCATCTCAACAGCCTATTTTCTGCAGGACTCTGAAACACACTTTCTTGGCTTTTTTTTCTTTTAAAGAGGAGCTAAACAGTTTATTATCTGCACTAGAATATTTCCCCCTTCCTCAGACTGCTTTCCATTCATTCATTCAACCACCAAACATTTCCTACAAACCAACTATGCACTATGCACCATTAGGTGCAAAAAGAAGAGTCAATCAATCATCATCACTTATGACAACACGCTGTAGTGCCTCACAGTAACTATGTTTGCCTCCCCAAAACCACCTGGCACTTAGTCCCAGAGTGGCCTGACATCAGCTCCATTAGACAATCTCCTTTTTACCGTTTGCAACTGTGGCCACAGAATTCAAAAAGCAGACTCCTGCTTCTACTACGCCATTACAGCAATCACCAAGAGACAACCACTGTGGTGCTATTTTAAAAAGTTATCAATTTAAGAGCTGAAATATCTGGCTTCAGGGTTTACACTATTGAAATGATGATCACACAAAGTGTAGGAAGCTGAAGTCTGCCCTGAAAGTAAAAGAAACAAAGAAAATTTCATTTAGAAATTAAAAATTCAGAAAAGATAAAAAGCAGAAGCTTTAATGTTATGTGAAAGGGCTGAAGTCTACAAACGGAAATCAAGAGAATGGACTAAAAGTCAAGGAACCTCAACTCAACATAAAATAATTCTAAGACATAAAGAGTTAATGATAAAAACTGCGGTTTGTTCCCAAATTCAAAGTAACCAGGGTACGTGGTTTCCAATTTTCATTCTTTAATCAAATCGTAGTTCCAGAGAAACAAACAGAACAAGTCAATGTCACATTTTTACCAGTCACACTGCAGAGAAGCTTTAAGTTCCAAGATTTCCTGATCATCTTTTACCTCCACTCATTTCTACCACTGCACTATTATTAG